CCATTACATAGAAAAACATTGTGTTGTAGTTCACAAAGATAGCTGAGAAAGTGCACAGGAGGTTACAAGGACACTGGATTTCTTACAGGATCAACAGATAGTTTCCTCTACTTGCAGACAAACCTTTTAGCCTAAAAAATGGAAACCGAATGCAGCCACCACATCTAATGGCTGGTAAGCTGAAGTATATTCCATTTTTTTAATTAAGTTTAGATTTGCTTCCTTATGTTAGAATCTAGGGTTTTGCCTCATCACCTTTTTTAATACTTATTTTGGATACAGTGTGATCTCAGAGAATCCTCAGACAAGTTGGCAGATCACATCTGACATTTATACAAAGGGGTCTAATTAACAAAAATTGCATACGTTTTTTGTCCAGCGCAACGGCAGGTACATTTGTTGTGTGCGAAATAACCAACTGTTGTGAGAATAGGGCAAAAACAAATGTTCTTAGTGTATTCTCTCCTCTGATCGAATGTTCTTCAATAGGTCCCTCCATACAGAACAGAGTAAGTAGGGAAAATCCCACACTGTGACCTGTCAAAAAGTTTTACAGGCAGCTGCATGCAGCAACACGCAGCTGCCTGTCCCTCGAGGGCGCGGATTTCTGCATGGACATGCATGCTATGTGGCTGCGCACGTTCATGTGGATGAATAATAAAAAAAATGTCCCTATAAGCAAAGTCCATAAGCAGCTTAGAATATTATAATGTACTTAACAAATGCAATGCACTACCGAAATGTTTGCAATAAAATGTATACAGCCGCCCAAAGTTAACAAAGTTGCGCCGGTGTGAGGGTTTCATTTACACCACATGCGTCCCAACGCAACATGAGGCAATTTGCCTTTTCACGGATGGACACCTTTCACACCTATTTTTATAATCCTGGTCCTGGTACTGTATACTAAAAGTGACATTTCATTCATTTCTATGGGAACAGTGGGCATGTCTTACTTTTTTTCAGCACAGCGGGATGTGACACGAAACAACCGCCTTGCACCCCACTGTGCCCATAGAACTGAATGAAATGTCCCTCGTAGAATACAGTACACAGTGTGATGTGTCAGGATTTAGATTATAAGAATAATAAAATATAGATGAAGATATAATAAATTAATTAAACATATGGTAAAAGAATAAAATAATACAAGATAATAAAATAATAATCTGTTTGTTTGTTTGTTTTTGAGCAGTCAAGTGCAGTTCATCTATGCATTGCATTTAAATAATAAAAAACTCCACATTTAAAGTCGTCTGGCCATCGCATTCCTTGAACAAGTGCAGCATTAGACTCGTCATGCCTTTGCCTTCACTTCCAGAGCAGGTTGGTGAACTCAAGATTACATGTATAGTAGAATGATGTATTAGGAAAGAGCTTTGTTTGGACATACACAGAAAGATGAGGCCCCGTTCAATGTTCCATCCTTCAGATCTCCCCTCGTATAAAATCACATCCAAAATCAGTCATGAGCGGATCTGGCTTCCACGCTGGACTCCCCTCCTCCCCCCTCTCATTCTTCATGACATTTCCATAAACGCCTCACATCTGCCAGGGAAGGCAGGACGTTCCCCCATCCCACATCTGGGCTGGAGCCTGTTTACTGGGAGGCTGCAATTAGAAGGCTTCTTGAAATGGCATAAAGTGATTCCCTGAATGCTCCTGCATCTCTATCTCAGCAAGGTGAGAGGGAAGGGGGAGTGGTGAATAGGAGACAAAGATAAGGGGAAGAGGGGGCACATTGACAATAAAAGGGGGCTTGCACAGGAAGGGGAGTTCAGAGAAAGTTGGGTGGTCACCAGACGTAACAGGGTGTTGATGAGGGAACTGAGCGTATGCATGTGTGCGTTCCTTAACCGTAAAGAGTAACAGGTGATCAAAGTAGAAAGATTCGTATTGTTCCAATTCCAAACATATGCACAGGTGATACTTATTACAAGTCTGAACTTCTCTTGTTATGTATGCCATGAAAATGGATGATCTTCGATAGGGTGAAGATGGATTAAACAGAGAATGTATTAATTAGGATACATAGACATAGGAGGGTGATGGACAAATGGGGTTTTCTAAGAAAATGATTGTATATTGTTCATTTTAAGGGTTATTCTTGCCTGCAGAGTCTACCCACGTTCTACGAACATGCATGAAAACCAATCTTATCATTCTTATCTAATACTATAAGTAGTGCAGGAACTGTTAGCTCATTTGGTAGAAGGAAGTACGGATTTCCTTATTTAGGAAATTACTATGATTTATATATCGTAGTCATTTATAATTCATCTGACCTGTTGTAGATTGACCAAATGCCATTCTCAAGGCATTCTTGCTACTAAATGGAGCTGAGGAGTAAAGGAAATTTCTATGATTTAAAGGGTTGTTCACTACTGAGCCGAAGGATCCAGCCGTAGATTCGGCTGATCCTTTGGCTCGCTTCGGTCACCTGAGCCCTTTCTTTGGTTCAGTCAAAACGAACGGCTGCGGTACGAGCTATTCACAATAGCCCGTACAGAGGCAAAAGGCAGTCAAGCGGCTCAGCCGAGCCGAAGGCATATGCTTTGGCTCGACTGAGCTATAGTGACACCCGGAGCGGTCGGCTGAAGGGCCGACCTTTCTCCACCCAAATGACAGCTGGGCAGAGCCAGCCGTGATCTCACGGCTCGCTCCACCCAATTGTAATGACAGATCAGCATCCCCTGGGGATGGTGATCTGTCATTAAACAATAACAACTGGGCGGAGCCGGTCGTGACGTCATGGCCAGCTCTGCCCAGTTGTTATTTTTTTGGCCAGGACCTGCTAGAAGACTCTGGCAGGTGCCGGCCAATAGGAAACAGTTGGGTGGAGCTAGCGGTGTCACCGCTAGCTCCGCCCAATTGTTTTTATTTTGCTGGCATCTGTGCCTTTATGCAGCGGGAGTTCATCACGTGCGGTCTTGTTGGCGTTATTCTCTTATTTTTAACAAAAATATTTTTACAAAATTAAATGTTCCTATTGTTTTAAATGTTTTAAATAATTTTTTAACATTTTTTTTAAAATTCATGTAACTTTTTTTCTATTCTGCTCGCTACCTCTGAGGTAGCGAGCAAAATAGCCGAGCCGAATGCTGCTGAACTGCCGTTCAGCCCCAATGAGAAAAGGGGCGAACAGCAGCAAGTGAGGTGCCGGAGCTTCGGCTCAGCCAATCCAAATGTTGAATCGGCTGAGTCAAACTCCTTCTGCGCTTTGGTTCAGCCGAACATGCAGAGCATGTTCGGCTGACGAAAGGCAGCCGATGTACGGTTGATTTTAGCCGATGTATCCGTACAAGGCTGAAATGAGTAGTCGAACAGCATTCAGCTCGGTTATTCAATCGGCTGCCTTCGGCAGCTAAGTGAATAACACCCTTAGAGATCATAGCAATTTATAAATCACCCACCCCAACATAAGTTGGCTGCAGGCCATTCTCAAGTCATTCTCGCCCCAAGATGGAGCCAAGTATCATAGGAAATTCCTACACTTATTGGCTCCATCTAGTGGCGAGAATGCTGTGCAAACGCATTCAGCCAGCGTATGTCAGGCAGATGATTTATAAATCATCCCTATTGTGTCTGGGAGGGAGGCTTGTAAAATACATATGTGAATGTGGACGTCATCTGTGTCTTTATAGTAACAGCCATATAGTACCCACTAACTCAAAAGACTTTCATTACTGCACTGAAAATACATCAAAGTGCCGTTATGTAAGTCTACATCACATTCTGATTCTTTCCGCCATGCCGTTTACTGAAAGAGCTCATTAGCTGTCCTGTTGTTTTCTGGTCTGTCACTGTGATTACCATATAGTGACACAGATATGTAAAAATCAGATTAGTTTGTGTATTTTCCGTGTCTGTTAGAGGTCGCAGCATGCAGTGGAACCACCAGCACCGCTCACACACTGAGTCTGTCAAACATCAGAGCAATATGAAGTACAGCAAGCCAATTTTTTTTTTTTTTTTTACTTTTCCTCCTGAACTTCTGCCAAGAAAGTTGGAAATAGTGATTAGTAAAACAGCTGGGAATATTCAGAGGAAATCATAGCAACCTACGTGGATAGACTGCATCTGCGACTGATACAAACCATCATCCCTCTCTGCATTTTGTGCAATTTGACCCGCTGATCATAATCACAATTGTAATAATAATTAGATCTGTACTCTCTGTAGGTACCTGAAGAAAAGACAAACATCCAGAGGACGATTACTGCCAAAATTGTTACAGAGAACCTTCTTTTAAAAAAAAAACTGTCTTATTTTAGTTATAGCTAAACTCCTGCTAAACTTGTATTTCTGTCCATCGAGACATGAGATTTACACAGTTCTGCCATGCAACGCAGCCCTTCCTGGCAGGGGAGGGGACCAGATCGTGGGCAGATGTAGTTTTGCTTTCACTTACAGATCCCCTCTCTACCCTCCAGCTTGTGACTGAACAGGGAAATGAGAAGCAGCACACTGATGTGCTCATCTCCCTGTCACTCTGCTCTGTCCTTCTATCTGCCTGCTCATTGCACTGCATCTTGTACAACTGATTGGCTCCATGTGTGGATTCTCTTGCTATAGGCTAATAAGAGTTGAAATTCAGATACTTACACTGTTTCCATAAAAAAAAAATATATACAGTGAGGGGAATCTATCAAAGTTGGAGAAGACAAAAACTGGAGCATCTGTGCATGACAACCGATCAGCTTCTCTCTTCAGTTTGTTCAGTTAAGCTTTGAAAATGAAACACAGACACTGATTGTGAAAATGACGTGTCTAGCTTGGCTTTTTAGCTGACCATTGGCAGCAATCTAAGTTCCCCTAAATTGCTGCCAATGGTCAGGTTTAGGCAAGCAAAGTGAAGATAAAGAATTAGGCAGAATTGTAACTGGGGGGAAACATTATACAGGGAGCAGGTATATATTCTCATACAGAAGGAAAAGCTAAAGGCAACGCTACATAGGTCAGCCATAATACAAGGTCAGGAGGGCAAAGTCTATACACAGAACGACACAGGGGCTGGGAGATCAAGTCAGTAAAGACTGTACATGAACAGTCAGACCAAGTTCAGATGATGCACCAGTTCTTGCTGGTGGGGACAGGGTGGAACACGAGAGAGAGGTATGGAGAAGCCATGACACAGACTAAAACCACATAAGTAAAGAAGTGGTAGCAAAGTGAGAAACAGACTTACAGAATATCTCATAGGTCGAGAAAGACACATAGATGATCAAACTACAGGATCAAGGCCAGTAGAATTCATGATGCTAATGTTTATCCCTTTACCTTATGTCCTTCTTATATTGTTACACTTTTTGGCCCATCAGAAAATGATCTACTGTTCTTCCACCTTCTCTGCAGGGAAATGAGGCCCTGTGTTCCCACTCTCTTTACGCTGCTGTTGGTCTCCTCTGTTGGAGTCTATGGACAAGATGAAGAAGAAGAAGAAGAAGAAAATGATAATTGGTCAGACAGTATACTGGAGGACATGAAACCAACCTCTAAATCACTGCATTGTCCCAAGGCTTGTACCTGCACGCAGGAAGGGGTAGTCGACTGTGCTGGAGTGGATCTGAAGGAGTTTCCAATGGACCTCCCGGAATTTACAAACCACCTATCTCTGCAGGTCTGAATGGTTAAGAGGCATGCGGTCTATATGAATGAAAGTATCCTGTCTCATATATGAGATTTGTTTCAATTCTTCCACATATTATAATTATTTCATGCTGTTTATATCAATGAGAAATGTCTTTGTCCACTGTCTTTTTGGCACTAGAAAATTCTTGAAATAGGGATCAGCTTGCACTGAGATATCTTATACTTGGTAGACCACGTTCTTCAGTACAGTGAATTATTTACATGATGTTAATGTATTTTTACTTTAGAGCATGTTTCTCTGCGTGCAGACCTATCTTTCTATTGCTTGGAGTTTTACTGAAGCTTCAGATTGTTCTACCTTTATATTTGGTCTTGGGTTCTTCTTGTTAAAAAAAAAAAATAGGTCACCTCCCTCCTCTCTTTTTTCACTCCTCCATCCTAACCTTCTTTCCTCTTTTCTTCCATGGCTCCATTTCCCCATTAGTACTCTCTGTACCCCTATCCCTGGAGCTGTCTGTGTCAACCTCACCCACCCCCTCCTTTCTGACCCTCAACCCTCCCTCCTACTGTTCTACTTTTGTTTCTATCACCTCCCATACATGTTGGCCCCTTTGGTACTTTACCCCTCACCTCTGGCACTTACCTTTCAAACCAGTAGGTCTAGTCCCTTCCTATTGTTCCCAGGACTGCATGGCTTGTCTTTTGCTTTCCATGTACAGTACCTTTGCCCTCTACACAGGTCTTGCCTACCTTAGTTTTACGGGATTTTCACCCTGGCTTTGGGGTATTTCCTAACTCCCTTCCCTTGTTATAGAGAGCATTGCATTCTCTTGCTTAACTGCCGCTCATATCCAGTGCATTGTATTTGTTGAACCCTGGATACACTGTCGCAAAGGGAATACTATAGAGTGTCACTTGAGTGACAGCTCTGAGTCTGCTATGGCTGCTGACATCAGATCCAAGATTGTGGTGCCCAGCAACAGTCTGAGTGCTTTTGTATGTCTACACAGATAAATAAGAGTTTAAAATATGTTAAATGTAAATACATCTTATGGGAAGATTTTTGTTGAAATGAAATGGTCTGGCGACCGGGCCTCTTTAATATATTCTGATAGGTGATCTTTTGTTTGCACTCACCCTGCACTTCTATGCTTTGTGCTGACTTTCTTTCTTGTAAGTTATACAGAATAACCAGATACAAGAGATTCCACCTGAGGATCTGACCAGACTTTACAAATTAGAGACCCTCAATTTGCAGAACAATCGCCTTACTTCTAGAGGTAAGAGAAGTAAAAAAAAAAACAAAAAACAATGGAAATGACAGTATACATATTTGTCAGCACTGTCTATAAACACTTACTATACGTGCGAGGTTATCATGTTAGCCTGCAGGGGACCTGGAAACGTATGCAACAGATAAAGATGCATAGCAGGGATGGCTGTATCCAAATAAAGCTAAATACACAGATTGAATACATATACGGAAGTTGTTCTACATGCCAAATGGGTTTGTATTTCTGTACAACCAGTCCTGAGATTTACACAGCCCTGCCAAACCACACAGCCTGGCGATTGACATCACTATTTGACCGACAGTCTGAGTGTTACAGTATAATGCATTGTCAAATTCAGGTAGCTAACTGAAGTGTAGGCTGCATACGCAGTAATAAATCAGATGTAGCTGTAGCTAGGAGTTAAATAGCCATGTTCTGCAATCTGGAGAGTGACCCGCATCTCCCTCAGCCTGACACCCCAACACACACACACCTTTCCCCTGAACAGTGCACCAATCAACAGTGCTCATAGAGTACCACAGACCAGCGTTTAACAACCTTTATTTCAGTCCGGCACACTTTAAAAATATGCAAAGTCTTGAGGCACCCCAGTGTAAACTGTCATAGATTTTAAGGAGGACCCCATGCAAAAACATAACAAAAGTGGGTTTCCCCCATGGAAGAGCCCCATTCAAATCAAGATCCCACCCCCCTTCACATCAGAGTCACCCTTTGCATCAGTAGCCCCCTTCACATCAGGAACCTCTCTTTCACATCAGAAGCCCCTCTTTCATATTGGAGTCCCCCCTTTCACATCAGAGTTCCCCTTTACATTGGGAGCCCCCTTCACCTCAGTCTTCATTCCCCTCTTCACATTACAGTCCCACTACCACAACATTTTGAGACACCACGAGAAGGCCAGAAGGCACACCTGGGTGTCATGGCACCATCGTTGAGAAAGGTTGTCATAGACTATGGAAAAGCTGGGCTGCTGCTTGGCATGAGAGAGCCAATGTAAGCCAGGTTTAATAGGGCTTCAAGCCATTAAGAACTTAAACACATTCATGACATTTCTAGGACAAAGCTAATTGACCCATTTTACCATTCTTGTCCTCCTGTTTGAGTATTTGTCCTGTTAGGCTTTTATGCTTTCTTAGTCATTCAAACAGAAGAAGTATTCAGCCACAAAGTCACAACTCATTAATGCTCTTTTGACAATGATTCAAGAAGTACTAAAGCCGTAAGGTCAGCATAGCCACCAGATAACCAATATTTCCACAATCGTTCAGCCTGCATATTCTTCTTAGCGCAGGTTTCCTTTAAGACACCATATCATAAGTCCATGCAGTTTAAATCATGTTTAAATGGCTATTATGCTAATAATTAAATTGCTTCCTTTTTTTCCCCAAGGAATCCCTGATGACATGTTTGAACAGCTGGAAAATCTTAGTTACCTCTACCTAGCCAACAACAAGGTATGATAAGTTCTCAAATTAAGAAATTTTTTTTAATATTCAAATATTTTTTCTTATGAACATCACAGAATCTACTGGCTTGTTTTTTTTAATTATAAACAGTAAGCAGTGGACTTAAAGGCCCTCTCAAACACTAAAAATTAAAGTTGGACAACACTGGGTCTCTTTGTTGTCATTAAGGTCTCGTTGACAGGCATTGCAAAGACTGTAGATCAAATAAAAGGCCCTTTCAGAAGCACGGGTCTGCCATAAGACTACCAACTGAGGCCATACAACAACAAACATACCCAATGACAACAAACTAGGTGCCATGTACTTTGCCTAAAAATGTAATGGAGCTTACAAACTCATAGGGCAAGTGATAGAACACAACACAGAGGGGGAGAATGAGCACATAGGTTTCTAGGAAGGGGGCCTATTGGATACACACATAGGACAGTAGGACCATCAGGACTGAGTACAGCCCATTTATTGTAATGTTTTCTGAACAAGGGATGAGGCTTAGTTTAGGTTTGTCAGATGGGGTTTTCATCCCATTAGGTTAACTATTCAGTAAGCTGTGATGTATTTAAAGGGTATCTATGATCAAAAGCTAAAAATAAATATGTATTTCTATATTTAATTTCCATAAGTGCTATCTGACTTCTGATCAGCATTCACTACATAAAATTGATTTTTTTTTCTAGTGAGCTTTAACTGCATTATCAAACACAACTGTATTCCTATTACAATGTTGATGATATAACAGGACATTATATGCTGGGGCTTTACAACTCCTTTAAGAAATTCTATTATATTTTTAGTTCATGCAAAACAGGTTTGTAGATATTTTCCCTTATATACAGTATTTCACCTGGGTTGAATACTGGATTACTACAGTAAACTCCTCATTATCTGACATTCAAGCAATAGGAACTCTCAAGCAACCAGCAAAAAAAATCGAGGACATACTATGTCCTCCATTTTTTTTTTTTTTACGGTTGCTTGATAGAAATTTTTACATTAAACAAATTTCATTAGCAACTGAATTGATTTTAGTTGCTAACAAAATTCTTTGTTTATATCTTGCTGCCGGCTGGTGGCCATTGTAGTCCTTAAAGGAGAACTATGGGGTCAGGGCTTTTCACCATAGTTCTCCTTAGGGTAACGGGAGGACACAAACTAGCGTCTTCCCGTCACCCTAGTCTCAGTATACCGCGAGCTACAGCTCGCGGTATACTGAGACGCCGCAGCCGGAGCGGATCCTGACATCGATGTGGAGATCCGCCCAGCTGCGTGAGTGACAGCTGGCTCTGCCTATCTAGAGGCAGAGCCAGCTGTACCCGCCCCCCCCCCCCCCCTGGTGGATCGGAGCGGGGAGCGGGCAATCCAGTATGTGTTCGCTCACCTCCCGATCTACTGAGCCGACCTGTGACAATAAGACTGTCACAGGTCGGCTAGAACTATGAGGTGAGTGAAAAGCACTCCCCTCATAGTTCTCCTTTAAACAGTGCTGATCTTGGTTGTTTATTATTGCATAGAGATTACTGCGGACTTCAAACTTTGTAGAGGGTTTGTGGGTCACAATGTATTTTGTATTCGAGGTACGACATTGCACAATCTGTCTTGCCGTCAGAACTGATAAATGCCCCCCATAGTAAGAGCAGATTTGAAATGTGTGTAAGGTACAGAGTCATATGCAGAATGTGTGATATAAGCAACATTCACAATGAGGTCAGAAAGTACTACGCTATTTTATAGCTTGAAAATAGCTGAAGATTTTACAGATATAGAACCCATATATGTCAAAATTGCCTGAGTTTTCTGATCCAACAGACCTCATGCAGTGTACTGGTCACAAATGAAAGAAAATAGTCACAGTCCATCATTAAATGCATGAAACAGGATAAAAGAGGTAAGCATTTTCCAGATTGGCAGTACATTCCCATGGCAGCAGTTTTTATACATTCTCCTCCACTGAAGTGTTTTGAACCAAAAAAAAAGTGACAACCTGAGAAAGCCACGGAGGGACATTTTTAGCAAGAATAAGCACTAGGCTCATTTCCATGAGAACTGGCCGGGTTCGTAGCTTGGCAATGTTAACTGAATTAGCAAGCTTTAACCCTCTTAAAATGTGCTGTTACAACCCAGACCTGGCATTGCACATGTTCTTGGAAACAAAATGGAAACATTGAGCTTGCATGTAAAAACGACGGCCCAAAACCATTATTGGTTTTGGAATAGTTGTGGGTTCTAATAGCTGACTTGCTAACCTACTTCTTACACATTTTGAGCTTACATCAGTATGGCCAGCAGGCAGTGTGGTGTTTGGACAACCAGATACAGCACAAAGCCAGTCAAAACCTTTTTGTAGTTAAGAATAGAATGGAGAAGGTATAGAACCTCCGCTGAGACTGTATTTCTGTCCCTCTTTGACCAATATCCTTTCCCTCTCCCATTTCATGTTACCATACCTTACAACAACTGAGAAAGGCAAAGAAGACACCCCTGCCACACCCCCAGTAATGCAGACCAAAAATAATTAATATGCTAAAAATGATTGGATAAGTTCTCAAGTGATTCTTTTCCACCACTACTTTTTCTTTCATACTGGATTTTCAGGGGGCTTCAAAAATGCAATGGGGGGGAAGGGTTGCTGTACTACACCAGCTTTTTTAGCATACTTATTCCAGGTTTGTTCCAACTTAGCATTAGTGCATCAGGTGATGCTGTGAGGCTACCCCTGCACTGCAAGGGTTAACTGCTTGTTTTGGTCATGGGGTAAAAATAGCAAAGTTATACTTACCTGTTCCTTGGAGCTGGCCGACTGTCACAGCGCTTTATGTTTGGTGTTTATTTACCCGACGTGACCCCGCTTTTTATATTTTACCAAAAATATGGGTGATAAATGGGTGTGGTTACTGGGGGTGTGGCCACTAAAGGGTGTGGCCACTGAGGGGTGTGGTCACTGAGGGGCGCTGTAAAGCTTTCTCGCACAGGGCGCCTAAAGGCCTAAGGCCGGCCCTGCTTCCCTCAGCCTCTCTTCCTCACTATAGCAATGGAATGTCCCTCGGCATCCTCACGCCCAATAATCAGTGTAATGGACGTGATGACCTTAGACCACTGCAGCGAAGGGGGAGAGAGGCTCCGAGGATTGAGGCTCCGAGGATTGGGTGAGTATAATTTTGTTATTTTCATCCCTAGACTAATACGAACACTTAACCCTTGCAGTGCCGTTGTAGCCCCACTGCAAGGGTTAATAATAATTTTCCACAAAGATTGGAAAGCTGCATTATATAAAATTTTTCGTTTTTAGGGTTTAGATACACTTTAAAAATGCAGGTAAATGAACAGGAAAAAAAAATTAAAATGCTTACTTGCAGTGTTTTTCCTTTACATAAATAATTTTTCTATACACTAGCAATATGCCTTTTGAACTTGCTGGAAACTTTGGCTACTACAGGAAGAGTCAATTCCCTAGCACAGCCCCCTACCTCCTTGCATGTCATAGCCCTCTTCTGTAATGGGAGTGTCTTTTTTTACTTTTTGTGTTTGGTCCAGCTCCTCCGCCCCTCCTCTCACCTCCCTTCATAACCTTTTATGTAGCTGCTTTGGGAGAAACAATAGGGAATACTATATATATCACATTCAAGATGACAGCATCCAGCAACAGGAGTCTTGGGTCTTTTGTTGTCTATGCAAAGGAGGCATTTACAGGTAAATAACATGCATAAAATACATAAAATGCACATATAATCTTATGGGAAGCATAACGTTGAAATGAATGGTCTGGTGTAGGGATGCACCGATACCGTGCCAATACCGAATACCGATAACGACATCCCGAGGTAAAGAGGACTCGGCTTATCAGGAAGCCTGGCGGCGGATCATGACCCCCCTGCCTGGGTTCGTGATTGCCTGGGAAGCCGGTGTTCAATAGAAAGAACACTTCATGCTCCCTCGCGACACTGCGAGGGAGCCTGGCTTCCTGACCAATCAGGAAGCCGGGAGGCGGGTCATGACGTGCTACCTGGCTTCCTGATTGGCCAGGAAGCCGACTTTATGCTCCCTTGTGGCACTGTTGGTAAAAGGGAATCTCCTTCTCACTAGAAGTTCCATTATCGAGGTAAGTATCGGAGCATTTCGGCACGTACGTGTACTCTCCCCAAATACTCAGTATTGACATAAAATACTGATACCAGTAATGGTGTTAGTGGATCCCTAGACTGGTAAAAGGGTCTCTTTAATTCCTATTTCCGGGGGAAAAAAACTTCTTCCAGAACTTCATGAGTAAACTGCTCGGTTATATCTAGGGTATCTAGGTAATGGACTTTAACTTACCTGATCTGCTCTCTTAGGCTCCAAGACTTGCACCGGCAGCCCCCTATGCTCTGATGGTCATTATATACTATTCATGACCCATAGCCTTTCATTATATGTAAGGATGCCAAGGTCACAAGCCGAAGGGAGGGAAGAGAGGCGAGTACCAATTGCCGGGGGAGCGGGGATCAGATAAGAAAAAAGTACTTTACACAGGTCCCCTAGACCTAAATGAGCATTTCACCCTTGCAGTGTAGGGTAGCTCCACTGCAAAGGGAGGTATTTTTTTCCCTGGAAATAGGCTCCAAGGTACAAGTTGATAATGTAGACCTTCTTCTCATTGTATTCTAAATCTTCAATGCTATGCTGAGGCTGTAAAGAACAAGCTGAGTTACAGAAAGCTCCTTAGAGTGGGAGGTTTTCTAGTGAATTCATAAAGCCAAGGTCTGGCTCGGCAATGATACCGAGATTCAGGCCAGATAACAAGTTGGGATGTGCTTTGCAGCCTCCTTCCAACAATCCTTCTTCCAAACCGTGTTATGTTTGGCCAAAAGGAGTTCCAGGCTGAAGCTCACGATTAGCAGCGATAGGGCCGGGATTTGTGCCTTACTTTACAGCTTGTAAGCACACACAGTGTACAGTGTCTGACTCCAATTGTCGCCTGGGTATTAACTTGCCATGTACCTACAAAACTCATATCTGGTACTCATATTGAAAAATATAAAAACCTGTATCAAGTAACTCTTCCTTTTTTTAATTTTTAGCTAACTCTGGCACCCCGCTTCCTCCCAAACACACTGATGAGTGCGGACTTTGCAGCCAATTATATAACTAAAATCTACGGAATGACTTTTGGCTATAAACCTAATCTACGGTGAGAAACAAGAAATGTGATACTGTTATATGTGTGCACATACATAAGCCTTTCTTAAAGGGGTTCGTTTATAAAAGTTGGTGCTCACATCATGGCACTAGAGCCCCTAGATGGCGCTAAAGAGCATAGGAGTTTCTGATACTTGTCTGGACCATCTGGGGTGCTAGGAGCATATAGCCAGACAGATTTTTTTTTTAAATGAACCCCAAAATGTTTTTGTACTTTGTTTTATGCTTTTAAATTAAAAAAACAGGCAGTATATTTGTCCCCATTGAATGAATAACCCTCACCTCTTGCTCTTATGGCATCTCTAAAATTTTGGATTCCCCTTCCCTGACAATGTCTCAGGCTCAGTATACGACGAGCTGTAGCTTGCGGTATACTGAGATGCCGCAGCTGAAGCGGATCTCGACAATCATGCCGGGATCCGCCCAGCTGCGTGACTGACAGCTGGCTCTGCCTATCTGGAGGCATAGCCAGCTGTACCCGCCCCCTCCCCCGTCCGTTCCACCAGTCAGTGCTGGCAGATCGGAGCGGGGAGGGGGGAATCCAGCCCCTCTCCTGTAATGGCAGAGAGCCGTGACAGCTCACCTCCCGATCTACTGAGCCGACCTGTGACAGTCTCATTGTCACAGGTCGGCTAGAACTATGAGGTGAGTGAAAAGCACTCACCTCATAGTTCTCCTTTAAAGCCAGTACAGTAATACCTTGGTTTACAAGTAACTTGGTTTGAGAGCGTTTTGCAAGACAAGCAAACATTTCTGAAAAATGTTGCCTTGATATACAAGCAAATGTCTTGCAATAAGAGCAAAATTTTGTAGAAAAGCGCCACCCGAATAAGGCTGTAGCAGTGCGAGCGATGAGTCTGTTTAACAACAATGCAACGTCATATTGGATAGATTCATTGTTAAGGTTTCACGAAATGAAAAAGATTCCATTGAGTCAAGAGATAGCAGTGATTCTGTTAGTGACAGTGAAAGTCGTCCTACACAATAATCCTCCTCTCTTGTCCCCCTCACACCAGCCACGAAGGTACAGGTAATTGGTTTATTTTTCTTTTATATTTTGTAGAGTATTATATTACAGTACTGTATTGTACATGAATATTTTTGGGTTGTGGAACGAATCATCTGAATTTCCATTATTTCCTATGGGAAAATTCGCTTTGATATACAAGCGCTTTGGATTACAAGCATGCTTCCGGAACGAATTATGCTCGTAAACCAAGGTATTACTGTATATTTTTCCTCCTAGGTCACTCAGTGGGAGAGTCTGTTCGGGTTTTGTAAAAAGGCGGCACTTGCCTAGGTCACCCAGTGGGAGAGTCGGTTCGGATTTTGTAAAAAGGAGGCACTTGCCTAGGTCACTCAGTGGGAGAGTCGGTTCGGGTTTTGTAAAAAGGAGGCACTTGCCTAGGTCACTCAGTGGGAGAGTCGGTTTGGGTTTTGTAAAAAGGAGGCAAGTGAATATAAATCATTTATGGAAAGGGAAAACACTGCATGTAAGCATTTAAAAATACTTGATTTATTTATGATTTTACCTGCAATTTTGCAAATTGGTGACAGGGTCTCTTTAAACATTTTCACTAATGTATTTCGTTATCATACATATATAAACATAAAACAGACATGTTCATTTGTATTAAAGAGGGTTGTAAAGACAACATTCTATTATGCTTTTTATGTCTTTATTAGGTATTGTAATTATGAACCTGAAGTGGATCTTAACCCAGTCATTAAAATACAGTCTTTACAGAGACCCTGTAAGGTCTCTAAAGGTTTAAATCCAGCAATTCACTTCAATAGAAGACAGCATCACATACTCACATCTCTAGTGGCTCATTTCTCCTACCTCTCCTCCATTCCAGTACTTCAAATCTCCTCACCATTCAACATTTTAGGTAGTCTAGTGGAATATCTCATGAGAAATGGGAAATTGCAGACCTTTGTACTACAACCACCTTGAAAATGATGGCATTATCTCTTTTACCAGGTCCGTATATCTGCACAACAATAAACTGACAGACGCGGGTCTACCCGACAATATGTTCAACCAATCAAACAACGTGGAGATCCTTATCATGTCCAGTAACTTCCTGAAGTACGTTCCCAGGAACCTGCCCCTGGCATTATACAAACTGCACCTGAAGGTACACAAATGAAGCACAATCTTGTTGGAAAACAGGAATGTTCAGAAAAGGAAAGAGCTTCCCTCTGTATTCGGAGGAGCTCAGGTACAAGCCGGGTTTGGTCCAAACCTAAGCTCCCCCCTACTTAAAAACTAACTTCAGACTCCAATAGTTTTTTATTTGAATGAGAAAGAAGTTAAAATGTCTGCTTTCCATTTTTCCCCCCTCAATTCCTGTGCCTGTTTGGCTGTACACAAAATGGGGATGCAGACACCATAGAGAAAGTTATGGTCAGCAAGAAAACATTGTGTAGCTGTCTAATAGAAGAAGTAGACCATACCATACCGTTCCTCCCAACTTTCTGAACTGAGAAAGAGGGACTTCTTTTAGCATACAATTTATATGGAAAGGATGCATCACTGCCATGCCCCCATGAAGAATTAATGCACACAAAATGACTGGCTACACCAACAAGAGCTTTTTATTCACCATCGCTCTTCTTTTATACTGGATTTTCAAAATAACAGATACAACAATACAGAGGTTGGAGGAAAGGTTTAGTGTAGTTTTACATTTTCGGCAGTAAAAGTGCGTTTTTATAGAGCTCTAAATATATATCAAGCCAAAAAGAAGGACGAATGAGAAGAAAAAATGGGAGGGAGTCGGTTCCAGGCGAGGGACAGTTGGTAGGGATTCTAGACTACATTACAAGGGTTTTTCTTTGAGTACAATATAAAACTGTTTGGTTCACATGTTATACTAAAGTATAATATTCCTCTATCTTCCAGAACAATAAGCTGGAAATTATTCCAGAAGGAGCATTCAGTCATCTTTTTGGTTTGCGTGAGCTTTACCTGCAACACAATCTTCTAACAAATGATGGGATGAACAATGAGACATTTGGGTGAGACAATGACATTGAATTTCTTCTCAATGGAAAATTTATAGGGCTGTATATCTGAGGTTATGAATGAACAACATCCTTGGGTATAAATGACCGTATGTCAAAGGATGAGAGTGCCACAGGTTTGTACTGTGTCAGGTCCAATAAAAGTTTATCTTGACAATAGGTAACGGTATATGACCAACGCGTTTCAGGGGTCCACAGTTGTTGTGTTATGCTGCGTTGTGAATGGACACAATTTAATGCAAGTGACATTGCTACCGGCTTGTTTTTTAAAAATTATATAGCAATTTTTGTGCAACACTTGCAATCTAGGGGATAACCGTATAAACAGTTGCCATTTCTTTCTGTAAGATACTTGTTTTTATCCTTTATCACATCTCACCACCTCCTGTCTAAGGGCTCATGCACATGGGTGGCTGAGCCAATAGAGTGTAATTTCAGGTGTATTTCCTCCCGTCAGGGAGCCACAGGTGCTACATACAGCCATTGGCTTCCCATAGAAACCAATGACTGTTTGCGTATAAACGCCAGTACTATCATACAAGCACCTATGTGTATAGATGTAAATCCTTGGGCACAGGTTTTCTCTGTCCAGGGATTTATGTCCATACACATACGTGGCTGATGGCAACTACTGGCGTTTACCCACATACAGCCTTTGACTTCTATGGGAGGCTGTATGCAGCACCTGTTGCAGAAATTTACGTTACCCAGGGGTCAGCCATCTGTGTGCATGAGCCCTTAATACACTCCAGCAAATGCTGCATGGCATTTCTCAGGGTTGGTTTCATAATGGTGACAACAGTGTACCATGTCTGTACTATGTGTGCTAAATCAACCACACGTAGTCTCCATCAGGAGCCCAAATGCATGGGGTACACTTTGATTTAATGCAGGGGAAAATTATTGTTAACCTTTGCAGTGGGCCGACCCATGCACTGCAAGGGTTAACTGCTCGTTTTGGTCTAGGAAGGAAAATAACAAAGATATACTCACCTAATCCTCAGAGCCAGCTGGCTGTGACAGCGCTTCCTTCAGCCTGTCTCTCCGTACACTGCAGCAATAGAATGTCCCTCGGAGTCCTCACGTTTTATATAATGTGTATGGAACGTGATGATTTACGGGACCTTAGACAGCTGCAGCAGAGAAGGAGAGAGGCTCAAGGGAGCGTTCTAAGAGCAAGCCGGCTCAGTAGATCCGATGAGTATAACTTTGTTATTTTCCTCCGTAGACTAAAATGAGCACTTAAACCTTGCAGTGCAGGTATAGCCACACTGAAAGGGTTAATAATAATGCTTTCTTCCGGAGTTCTTATTTAAGTGGATTCTTATTCAAAATAATTTGCTTTATCCAGACAATAGTGGAAAGTAAATCAGTAAATCCCATCAGATGAGTTGTACTGGGCTTCTATCCATCAAGTGGTGTGCTCATCCACCCCTTTTCAACTTTTTTTTTATTTTGGCTTTGTTGACTCCTACACAACAACATTATAAATAAATAGCACTGTAACACTTAGCTGTATTTTCCTATAATCTTAAATACTGTTAGGGCTCATCTACCAATCTACCATCTACCAGTCAATCAGCCCATCAATTCTGCTGTAGTCATCATCTATCATGTTTTCTTATGCTTGCAAAATGCTTGCATGAGCTGTCCATAGTGTGAAAAAAGAAGCCTTTCACATGCGTCCACAATCACTATGTATGTGAAGTATGGCACAATGCAATGGGAGCCATCAGTGGAGCATTTTATCAGCACAGCTGCACACACAGCTTTCGGCCATGCTGGCGACTTTGAAATGTAAAGTTCAGTATTTTTTTTTTTCCAGTAACAGAATTCATTGTGAATGCTTCATTTCTTCTTTTATACTTTGTGACCTTTCATTACTCATATTTTTAACATTACACTTTCTATGTTCTTCTGCCATTGCCCTCCTTTCTAAATTTTACTGGGTGCCATAAGTGATGTGAACACACATGGAAACACCGTGTATATCTAAAGGAATCGACTGCTTGAATCATCCTATCCTGATTATAACTGCCTGCTATGCAGCTCCAAAAAATAGTGCATACAAAAACAGAGAAAATCACGGGAAGGGATTACATTTAGCAATTGCTGGATTCATGTAAATAATGTAAATAATTAAAGAAAAGAACATTTTTAAACAAGGTTTATTCAAATTAAATGTTTACATACATTTGTATTTTCTTCTTTGTTGGGGGTGTTGAAAAGTAAAAAATTAACTTAAAAAAAATATATATATAAGTTGGCAGGAGTCGTCTTACTTTTGATAACTCCACATATTCACTAATAATAAAAGAATAAAACGTAAATCATGTGGCACATTATTTACGTTTATTCATGTATCGTTCTGGATATTTACTAGAATTAGTGCCCGCTGCCTAGTTACTAGCTGAGCGTGAAATTCTGAATTGTATTATATTATATTCACTAATAAGAATATATCTGTATGTTCTGTGTAACTTACAGTCCATATGCCTTGCTGATGATGTGACTCCGCTTTGGCCAGAAGCTTGGGGGCCGTTCCACATCACACTGCTAAATAGACATGGGCATTGGCAAAAAATTTGTTTTTATTCAGATTTTGCGTTATTTCGTTTTTTTGGGATTTGGGTCCGAAAGTCAATTCGTTTCGGGATTTGGTTTCGTACGACATTCGTTAGCGGTAGTTTGTACAAACTTTCGTTTCCGTTTCGTGTTCATGTCCGTCGTTTCAGCAAAGTGACATTAAAAAAAAATGTTAAAATGTCACTGTGCTGCAACGAAAATTCGTCCACGAACGAAAAATCCAAAATTTTGTTTTTTGGAAATTCGGATTCATTTTCATTCGTCATTTCTGTTATTCGGAATCTCCGAAAAACGAAAATTTATCAGAGAAACGAATTGCACATGTCTACTGCTAAAGAGCTAGAGCGCACTGCTGGGACAGTCCCATAGGGGACTCACAATTCCCTGGGACAATGTTGGATTTGTGGAACTTCAGGCAAACAACTAAAGCCATAATTGAAATACATATATAAGAACATTTTGCCATGGGATTTTGTCTTGTGGTTAGCGATGAGCAAAATTGAGAATTTTAGACCTATTTTTCCAAAATTTTGCCAGAAATGAGAATTTACAGCAAAATTTGCCATTTTGGTGAACTGCAATTGGATCAAAAAGAAAGATAGAATTATGACCTTTTTTAGGTGTTTTGAGGGTACAAGGGGCTCCTGAGGTTTAAGTAGGGTACACAATGAACAAATTTCGAATAAACGAAAATTGATTTCGGAACGTTCGTTCGACTTTCTAATCGTTGATAGGGTCAAATCGATGATCAATTTCAACATCAGTGACGAACAAATTAGGAGCATGTTGTGAATTTTTTCCTTGATCAAATAAATTTCTAACAGTGAATGTGGTTTTGTTCAGGAAACTCCATACATTCCAAAATTGACCGTTAAATCATAAGGAAAATCAAACAAAATTTTGAACGACATTCGTCAAGTCTCTGATGGCATTATCAAAAGCTCCGACAAGATTTTTCATACGAATGTTTGTTCCAAAATCTACCAGTGTAAACCCTACTTTACAGAAGCTCTTTTCAACTTGTTCTTATGCCCTAAATTATTTTGAGGTTTTTTAAGGAAAGTAAAAAAAACCGTAAAGCTACAGTACAACCCTCAATAAACACAAAATCACTTAAAAAATAAAGGCTAGATTATTTTTTCGTTTACAACATTTGTATTAGTTTAGATATACAACAGACTGAAACAAAAATAGTAGATTTTTTTTCAAGCAATTTTAAATTTCTCAGTGAGCAAAATTGAGAGTTACCGCTATCTCTGATGGCAAAATGAGTAATTCCACTAAAATCACTCCACTCATCACTCCAGACATCTGCAGAACGGTGCAGTCAGACAAGTAACAACCCTATTTTATGCTCATGCTTTGCAAATTCTTGTGTCACCCCGTCCACTCCAACCTGATCATTGAACAACCAATTGTATCATCACACTGCTGACTGTCTAATGAGCTGGCAGGTGACCAAGGAAGCTGCAAAGCTAAAAGAGGCAAAAGAAGTGCAGTCTGCCTATTGTCTTGTGGCAAAGGTGTGAGAATGGAAAGTGGCTGAAGAGAATGTAAAATATTTTGGCCAGTAAAAATTCTTAAACATGCTAGGGAGAAAAAAAAGGTGGGAGGAGAGCCAGTCGCATGACCTGTCAAATTCATGTGACTGACTCTCCTCCAATCATAGAGAACAAAATAACTCTGTAGGACACCGCAGACTCCGTACCACGGATTTTGTGAATGGGCCAGAAAGATATGAAGTAACCCTGCAAAGTGTATATTGATATCTGCTCCCCAATTTAAATAAGCCCCTCAGTATTGTAAGTCAAGTTAAAACCAATAAAGCAAGGAAACGTTCTGTGATTTCCAATGAGAGGCTGCTATGGGCACAAAAAGTAGCGTGCCTATGTACTTTAGTAATGGAAATACAGCTCCACCCAGAGCTCTATCTCCATTATACCTCCCATGTATGTATTTAAAATCCAAACTTAGCTGTATGACAAAAGTTCAACTTAAAATATCTTTCTGCTAAGCACAAGTTGATCTTTTGAAACAGTAATATAAGCTCTGCTTCTTACACTTTATTATTTCTCTTCTTCAGGAAGCTGAACAGACTGGAGTACTTAGACCTATCGAGCAATAGCCTGACACACATTCCCAGCGGGCTACCCCGTAACATTGTCCTACTTCATTTGGAAAAAAATAACATTCGATCTATAGCAGAAGATGTTTTAACGCAAATTAAAAACCTGGAGTATCTTTTGCTCCACAACAACAGGCTGAGGGCTCGCGGCATCCATCCATCAGCCTTCCTGGGGTTAAAGAAGTTGCACACTCTTCACATGTACAACAACTTGCTGGAGAAGGTACCCGCAGGACTTCCTCGCAGGGTGAAGACACTGATGCTCCTTCACAACCAAATCACTGGCCTCTCCAAGGACGACTTTAACTCAACTTATATTATTGAGGACCTGAATCTGAGCTATAACAAGATCATGAGTAGCTCAGTACACAAGGATGCTTTCCGTAAACTTAGGCTCCTAAAAACGTTGGACATGTCAGGCAATAAATTAAAATCTCTTCCTCATGGGCTCCCGAAAAACTTGGAGATCCTTAAATTAAAAGAAAATGAAATAGGCTCCATACCGCAAGATACGCTGGCTGGGATGTCAAAGCTGAAGGAACTGTACTTAAGTTTTAATAAACTTAAGATTGGCTCTATTTACACAGGGGCCTGGGCAGAGCTCAGCAGTCTCCAGGTAATGTTGCTCGGTCACCAAGTATCGCCTACATATGTGGTTACTGGTCACATCCCAAGGGGCCTACTGTAACCTTAAAACACTATCATGCTGACACTGTCCATCCTTCTGGAGGGTGGCTACTTTTGTTCCCCATGGCCTCTGTGTGTATTGTAAAGTAGCCACCGCTCCAAGCCCACTCCCATGATAGTCTACAATCTCACTACAAATTAGTAAACTAAATGTGAGATTGTAGTCCATCACGGGAGTGAGCTTGGAGCGGTGGCTACTTTACAACACACACAGGGACCATGGGGAACAAAAGTAGCCGCCCTCCAGAAGGAAGGACAGTGTCAGCACCAATTCAGAGATAATTTGAGGAACTACAGCCGAGTGATACACAAATACGATACAGCATTGGTAATAGTTAAGGTACTTGATTGCATTTTTAAAGTTTAACTCCGGAGTTTAGTGTTATTCTGGTAGGCAAAATAATCACAGAGTTATTGTGAGGTTAATCAATGCATACTGAACCTGCTAAATTTGGCCTGGACATCCAGGTTTCAATGACCCCCAGATCATGAAAGATGGTACACTCCTGCAATTCCCCATAATATAGATAAATTACAAATGGGGACCCAGCTCAAAGACACCATTGAGGCCTTGTGACCAGCAACACAGACTACTTATGGAAATATTTGGCCTTGAAGCCTCTGTCTTCAGAGGTGAGCGCTGTGGCTCACCTAGCACTGAAATTCCAGTTTAGGGCAACATTGACCATTAAATTGAACAGTGTATGGATGACCCAAATGGAAAAACAGGTAATCTAGAAATATGTTATATAAAGTAGAATGTGTAGCAAAGGCCGATGTATACATAACGTTGTACGTGTCTTGCAGCTGCTTGATTTGTCAACGAATCAGCTGTCTTATGTCCCACCTGACCTGCCTGAGACCCTTGAGTACCTGTACCTACAGAGCAACAGGATTATCACATTGTCTGACAGTGCTTTTGAATCCACCCCTAATATAAAAGGGATCTTCCTCAGGTAACAGATGCCAAAAACGAATGTTGTATATATGCTGTTGTATATTATTTAGTATATTTTAAAGATGAGTTCAAGGCAAATATGAACAAATCCAGCCATGGTATGATAAAATGCAGCTGTAATGCAGCTAGAATGAGTGCCCTAATTTGTTTTTATGTTAGCTTCCTGTAATCCCGATGTACAACAGGACTCAAACTGGAAGAGGGAGTGCAAGCCAATCAGGTGCCACTGGACTGCAAATAAGAGGAATAAGAAAGCACCAGGGCTCTTTCACAACCTATGCCTTGGGCTGCACTGGGCACCCTTGCCCAATGCACTCTTAAAGCATAGGCAAAAAATGTGCCATATGTCCTATAAGTTTAGTTCACACCACTGCAGTGCAATGGAGTGTACTGAAAGAAAGTAGGATATGCTGCATTTCTATGCAGTGCATCGGGTTGTGTCATTACAGAACGTTGCACCACTCCTTTCCAGTATATACCAGCTGCCGAATAATGTGCACTACTGATGTGAATGGGCCCTCGGTGCAGTTATACTTTTTTCACTGTCTAATCAGAAGGCTAGGGGCTGGCCAGTGATCACATTCCTTTATTTTACTGCAGTGGTGTGGTCACTGACTTCGCTGGTGTGATGTACAGTGCAGACAAGTGCACACGGGCTGCATTTGTCTGCAACGCTCTGGGTGCACTGGAGGTCTCTTCAGCGCAGTGGAACCTTTATTGGAGTGTAGATTGCCAATATAAATATAAAAATAAGTAAACAGTTGTTACAAAAATGTTGCAATTCAAGGCACTGCTACACACCATTGCCAACCAGCGGATACCAACTGCATGCTAAAATGGGACTCTTTAGCGTGCAGCTGGTGTGAACCAGCAGTAACATGGATGCCTGGATCATAACCCCGGCTGAAAATGATTACAAATCATTTGGCAGTTAAGGCAGTTTTCATAGATGTGTTACAACTGGGTCTAGTTTTTTTTGCCTAGAGTTCATGTTCAGGATTATTTTCTGAAGTCCTAGAATTAAAAGTATGAACCACATTAAAGGTGCCAAAATAAAATTGGCAATGTACCTTCAGGAATTGTCATGGTAGTGACTTTGTTTTGTACCTTTTTTAGGTTCAACCTGCTAACCCCTGAGACTATAAAAGAAAGTGCTTTCCATGGACTGGATCAATTGCAGGTTCTGGACATTGAAAGTAATTTAGCTTTACCAAAGGTCACCAAGCAGAAAAAGGAAAAAGAAACAGAAGAGGAAGAGGAAGACAGAAAGAGATAAAACCTGTATTTCATGTACGTATGTACCAGGGACGTGCAGTCAGGGGAGGCAGGTGAGGCAGAACCTCACCTAGTATTATGCAGGAAAAAGCTGTCAGCTTCAAGTCTGAAGCTCACAGCTTTTTCTCCATTCAGAGTGGCTTGTTACAGGTTGCACAGCAGGGAAAGCCTCCCCACTGTGTAACCTGTCATGGACTGAGCTCTGCCTGTTAATTACAGGCGGTGCAGCATCCGGCTTATGACAGGTAGTTAGGTTACACAGCAGCGGGCTTCCCCACTGCTTGTGTAACCTAACTTGGAGAAGCAAGAGTATTGTCACAGCCTCTAATCTGTGTTAGAGACGTGAGCTCTGTAGATGGCTTGGATCAATGGCAAAGCGCCATTTATCCAAGCTGTCCAATCAAAAAAAAAGAAAAAAAACACTGGGGCCATCAGTCTTCATGCCTCACCAGTGACAAGCAAGTGAGGGACAGGGAGTCTCCACCCTGTCTCCTCCTCCCCACACAGCTTGGTTATCGAGCTGGGGAGGAGCTTCGGCAGGACAGGGGTCCGCAGATGGGCAGGACGGGGCAGCCCATCTGCCGACAAAGCAAAATGTACCCTCACAGTGAGGCTATCCCCGCACTGCGAAGGATTAAGTGCTCGTTTTTGTCTAGGGGACTGGAGTAAAGCAGATTTTCCTTACCTGATCCCCGCTCCCCCGATGGTCAGTGCTCTCCTCTTCTTCCCATCCAATCCAGCTAGTGTAATGTCCCTCGGCATGCTCACATCTAAAGCAGGTCTATGGAACCTGAGGGAGCCAGCAGGAGAAAGGATATGCGTTATACCAGTCCTCCCCGAAACAAAAACGAGCACCTAACTCTTCCAGTGCGGGGGTATCCCCACTGCAAGGGTACTTTTTTGTTTGCCGGAGATGGGGTTTAACTTACCCCCATCTTCTGCATCGCTGGGCGTGATGTCACCTTCCTTTTGGAAAGATTTTTGGGCACACTCCAGTCCATTGCAACAGTGTCCTCTCACAAGATTTTGGCTGCTGTGTATTTCCTTTGGATCACGCCAGAAGGATGGCGACCATTAGATTGAATAAGACAAAAACGCGCACTTACCTCAGAGACACTTTAGGCCTGAGAGGGAATCTCTCCAATGTTAAGGGAAATCCCCTTATAACAACTGTCACTACAATGGTTGTCCCCATTTTTTCCCCATTTTCCCCATTTTCCCCATATTTCAGTACAACTGTAATATTTGGGATTCCTTATCACCTGCTCTGGTCATATTGTGAACATAGAGTGGGCTCCCCAGTTAGGACACAGAAATAAAAACGCTACCACACTCTACGATAAACTATACTAAAAAAAAAAAAGTTTGGGCTTTGGATATTCCTATTTACAAAATGCATTCTGATACTGGATTCTACTCTCTTCACAAAATATTTAAAGTAGTATTGATCACTCATCTTTATTTGCAGCAATCTTTTCCGGGCCATTAAGGAAACTTGTGGCGTGTAGACTTTTTAAAATGTTTCCCCCAGAGACTAAAGTTGGCCATACACTTTACAACTCTCGCAGATCGTACTTGCGATCATCGCAAGCCTGCCCCCCTGAGGGGCGGGCTTACGATGACTGCAATGAGTGGCGGGCTTATGATGACTGCAAACGGGCGCACACCGGCCCGTTCGGCAGTTGTCGAACCAGCAGGCCACTAACTCGCCGAGAATTGTACGATTCCCGGCGGGTTTTCTAGCACGCTGGTTCGACGGAAGACGTGCGACCGTACAGTAGAAACGGTCGCACGCCTTCCATACACTGCACGATTCTCGTACGATCACGGGATTTCCCGCGATTCTCGTACGAGAATCGTGCAGTGTATGGGCACCTTTACAGTTCAATGCTGTATAATCCACTAGTTCTGTTGTCAAAGTGCCGCATCCCTGAACTAAGGGGTGTTCCTTGCATAATTTCCGCCTGAGGCGAAGGGGGTGCTGGTGGTCATGTCTGGGGAGGGGTTGGGTTTGTTAATGGAGTCCTGGAGGTGCATGCTAATAGTGCTCTGGCCAGCATCCTGGTGGTGCATCACCCAGCTCTGGCCCACATCCCACCCAGCTCACTGACGTCACTGGTTGCCAGGAGCTGGGAAGGATACCAATCAGAGCGTCTCACTAAGCTCCTGGCAACCACTGATGTCACTGATTGCCAAGAGCTGGGAGGGACGCCAGCCAGAGCATCCCAGGTTGCTAAGAGCTGCGAGGGGAGATGTGTATGGCGCTTACACATCTCCCTGCCAGCTCTTAGCCTCAGCCTCAGGCTGCCACCTTATTGGGAAGGCCCTGCCTGTTTTTCCCATAGGGTAGGGCACGCTGTTTACTCAACAGCATTGTCACATATCTTTCCACTTCAGGACTACATTTCCCATTATCTCTTAGGGTCATGTCAACAACACGCATACTGTACGTGCCTAGCATATGCTGCATGGACATCGCTGTCTTGGGAGCCGCTGTCAGTCAAATCCCAAGGAGGTCGAGCAGGGGAGTGGCTTGCAGTCCAGGGCTTCACGGCTCCCTCGTAAGGATGGCTACAACAAGGATTCATAAGACCCAGCAAGGCAACACAGACACCGTAAAACTCAACGTAGACACCGTAAAAGGCGAAACACTGTTGAGTCAATTTTACGCTGTATGCCTATATTCCTGTATTTGCTTCGATGTGCATGAGCACTTAAAAGAAAGGGTAACAAAGGCGTGAAAGCACCCAATAAACAAAGATGTCTGCTGTCATTTACGGTTTTTGACATCATACACTTTATTTAAAATGGCTCTATAAAACTCATTTTATATTTCTTTTGTGACAATAACACCTAATGAAGGTTCTCCTTTTCCAGCTGCCCAGTGAACAGATGAAGACTTTCATCATACAACAGCATGCTCATTCTAATGACACCCTCTTGCCTTCATTAGTGTGCACAGTGGTTGCCCCCAGGTCATTCATAAAGAGGGACGATCAGAATGAATCTGCATAAGGAATGTGATCTTTATGGACCTTGCAAAAGCTGGCTTTTGTTATATTTTTATATTATATTACACGATAATGAGTAAATCTGTAGACGAGGTGATCTTCCAGTCTGCAAAAACAAGTGCTTTTCATTTCAGATATGATATTTCATGGTAGAGATCTATCATTTCCCAGCAGGTACATCTGCTATAAATTATTTTTAGAGTTATTTTGCCTCTAACAGTGATCGGTCAGAAAAACAACACACAGAAATATATGATTACACAATGTATTATGGATAGGTTAAGTGTGGTCACTACGCTGTGCTGGTTGGACATAATTGACCAGAACTGAAACTGGACCTTATACCTCTGCACTTTCTTCTTTTTTTTTCAAACAGATCTTTATTACTATTTTATGAATAAAATGTTAACAAAATTAAAGCTAAATTTCAGTCAGCCACCTAAATGAAATACATATACTACTGTGATTTTGTATTTCTGTCTACTCATGAGATCTACACAACCCCATCACACAGAAGACCAAGCCAAATGTCACTACTTTCTCTATTACAGTGGTGTTATCCCACCATGAAAGAACATCAGCAGACACATAAAATCATCTCTCTGCTCACTCTGCTCTCTTCTATCAACATGTTCCTTGTCAACACATTTGCATGTAGTGCTGCCCCTCTATCTCCGAATCTGAATGCTGCTATACAGAGGAGTGCAAGACACATATTAAGACAGATATTAAGTCAAATTCAGGTACTTACACTTGCTGCATTTAGAAAAATACATGTAATAATGCATTCATGAATATAGAGCTGCATTAGTTTGTGTCTTTTATATCTGCCTGGAGCTCAGCTTTAGGTTGAAAAAGGCAGATATATGATAAAACATAAGATCTAAAACGTAATGGAACTGCAAATAAAGATCAAGAAACAGTATATACTCTGGATACTTGTCTTTCATTTTTAAGATAAACCACCCAATGGAAAGTGTAAAGATACCTGCAAATATGAGATGACTGTTATCCAATCTAACAGATTACAGTCAGATGGGGATACAATTGGTTGCAACCTCTGCTGATACACCCCTGGTCAACTAAAATGGCAAATGCTATTGCTTCTGTAGAATGAGGTTAACACCTGTCTGTTCAGTGCATACAAGAGAACCCCAGAGGGCCTGTCAGGGACGTAGCAGAGGGAGAAAGAACAAGCTTGAGAGAAAAACCCAGCAAGTAGGGAGACCTCTCGCCTGGCCTCTGAGAGAACATAATGCTGATCCTATAACACCTACACAGCCTCAGTGGTGAGAGTGCTCTTGGCCACCTGTATTTGTGTTAACCTCGCTTGCTGGCAGAGTTGGAACTTTACTGCCATTAGGAGACTATGGCTAGGATGCTTTGGGGAGTTCTCTTTACATTACAAATACTCTCAGTGAGTGAAAGCTATGAGAGTTTAAGGATCCCACCACTGGCAGACTACTCTTTTGTTCCTCCACTGGCCAGTAGTTTAGTTTGGGCCTATGAACATTAGCTAGACCTCAATACAATTGGAGTCAGTATAGTCATTATTATTTGTTTTACTTTTATGTAGGGATTATATAGCATGGTATTTATGATTACATCCACAACTTATTGATCAAATGAACGTAAAGTGAGCTATAGATATAATACTTTTTAGCAGGGGTTCTCTGAGCCCTATGTGTATTTTGCTATCTTTTATCATAGATTTATCTTCAGAAGAAGTTCAGGCAACAGTTTTTTAATACCTCAGGCTTAAGTTTTGATGACCCCACTATAGCCTCCTTTACATGTTCTTAGCTCACAAGAGGGGAATCTGGCATGGAGAACTTTTGCTGCAGCTCTTGCTCTAAGGTTTGATGTCTTATGTGTTGAGAGATGGCCATTTGTTTTAGCGAGTAGGTGTACCTAATAATGTGGCTGCTGAGTGTACAGAGTATACTGTATATATATATATATAGAGGGCTCAAAATTTCCGCTCGCATTTGGCGAGTGGAAATTCAGTCAGGCATGCAAACACGGATCGCGTACCTGACTATGAGAGCAGCCGCTCCTTGCTGTCCTGTCCTGGCTCCGTTACTTTCGATCGATCACCGGAGCTCTGACAGTTCCGAGCCCCGTTCGAAAGGATGGATTAGTAAGGTCTGCAGACCTTACTGAAGAGAACGGGGCTCGGAACTGCAGAGCTCCGGCCGAAAAGGAACGGAGCC